GTCGTTTCCGCCGACAAATAAAACAATGATTTCGTATTTACCTTGTGGAGGGACAAATTGATATACGTTGTTTACAGTTGCTCCTGGTAACAATAGGATGTTGATATTCCCAAATGTCAGGTACCTGGCTTGGGAGTCTGCAATCTGGAGAGCTTTCTTTGGGGATGTTTTAAACAGGTGATATCTCATTGAAATCTTGTCTCTAAAATCCCCCCATTGGAGGCCTTCCACACAAGATTTTATACATTTCAGATGAAACACACTTTTTAATAAGTTTATCACAACAATTAGGCTAAGTTCAATTTCGAGCGAGTACTGCGATCTAGTGACGCTCGTTATACAAAGTTTAAGGTTTTTAGGCTAATTTAATTCATGTTTTTAGGCTGAAAAAAACTGAATTTTACAATAACGAAATTTAGTTTTGGATATTTTTATTCAGTGCTTTCCAGACAAGAAAGGTTTGTCAAAAAATTAGAAAGTATGTATAGCGCTCGATTCGCACCACGCAGTAAAAACGGCACTATTTTGAGAGCAAGCAGGCTTATAAAATTAAGGTTAAACTGTTAAAACTAAATACTTTAGTTTTACTCAAATGAAATTAGTTACCCAGTTTTTTGGCCACTTTTTGGGAATAAAAATTTCAAAACGTTTCAGTTAACCCTCTGCAAAAGTTTGAACAAATAATTGAAATTTTTGAATTTATTTTTATTTTTTGTTTGAAAAATTTTTTTTTGTCAAATGCCCCTATTTTTTACTATGGAACTTTAAGGCTTTTGTTTAGGGGGTCTATCACAACAAAAACAAAAGGTGACGCAATTTGAAAAACATTTTTTTATTTTAGGTTTTTTTAGTATTGCCGGAACATTCTGTGCTACTTGCACAACAACCGACTATCCGTGTTTAACTAAAACAGGTCTGCTTGCCAACAGACTGCTAAAAAGTGTTGAATTCACGAATGTTTGCGGACTAAAAAAGAATCCTCTACCATATATTGCGGCATTGTCATTTTTTATTGAATCAATCTCAAAGTACCTGGTGAACCTAAACGTCAAAACTGAAACTCTTTCCTTTGCGATAAGCAAGGGTATTGCAATCGGGTACCAGACTTCTTTCCCGCAAACAACTTTGTCCACAGGACTCGTGGTACCGTGGCTCATAATGAATTCAAATTTCGTAGTATCTCCCGCACACTTAGCCTTGAGGTAACGAATACGCCTGAGACGCCAAAGGTCTCGGGTTCGAATCTGACTAGGACCTGTTTTTTTAAACGTTAAATGTTCTTTCGTCTTAACTTATATCGACCTAGTGGACTCTTATTGCGTCGTTCGTGGATCTAGAAAAGTTTGTGTGCGTGAGTGTGCTCTGAGGGGAAAGAGACATAATTTTTTTATGTAGAATTTTTTTGAATCGTTTTCGACATGAAAGGTTTCTGCTCTGGTATTTTCGGCTTCGTTAATACATGATAATTATAAATTCAAATTCAAACCATCCGGCGCATCTGGCGTAGAGGTGACTCAACTGCTTGAAGTCGCTTTTTTATAGACAAAAACGGTTTTTTGATTTTTTCAAAGTTTTTTCGATTTGATTTTAATCAAAGTTGTATCACAAGTGATGCGAAGCTCAGCTTCGCCTATGTGTTGAAATGTGCGATCCTTGTTCCTTGGGGGACCAATCCATAACGCAAAGTTCTTAGAAAATTGCTTTAGATGGTTTTAATTGTTTTCTTATTCGTCTATTAAACCAAAGTATGGAGCTTCTACTATAGACACTAATGTTTCAGGCTCGCAAACATTCCTATTTTTGCATCATTTTCAATAACTTTTCAGGGTTTTCAAAGTCGACAAATATTCTTGAGCAATTTTTGGCTGTCAATTTGTTTCATCAAGTATAGCTGCCTGTTGCTAGAAAGTTTATAGAAAGTTAGATAATGTAAGCATATATGGCTCGAAATATGGCTCGATAATTTAAACACGAAAATATTATACCTTAAAATGTTCAATCTATTAGTTCCTTAATGAAAATTCCCACATTCTTCGAATTAAATTTATTCGTTGAAAAATTTTTCAAGAAGTGCCCAAAAACGGCTTTTTGACAGTTTTTCAAAAATTTGCCTGCGGCGCAGAAAATTTTGCCAAAATAGGGGTAAAACATTGCTTTGGGAGAATGGGAGAGCTCGAAAAATCAATTTGGTCGACCTTAAAAAAAAGGTTAAAATTTTCGAATTTTTTTTTGAAAATCCGCACCCCCCTCGAGAAAATCCTAGATCCGCCCCTGTTGAACATGTTAGGTTGTCAATTTTTGTGTTCTTTAGAATAACAGTCAATTAAGTTAGTCAGTCAGATAGTTGCTGAAAACCGACTCCGTGTTTTTTGATTTCGTAATTAAAGAAATTTTGCATAGCGGAAATTATTTGGGCTCTTTTCCAGTTCCCGCCTCCTTTCAAAATACCTAGTTTTATGTTTGTTTTAAGTGTTATTACGGCTAAATGCGTGATGTTACGATGTAAAGTATGAAGAACATGGCTTTTTCTTTTCCCCCCACCTCACACAAGCATCAATTTTATGGTTTTAGGAGTGGTTTTACAAAGTTGATTATGAAGATCAAATATGTTTGCCATGGCCTAATTTCTGCATGATAATTTTCATGACAATCGGACAAGGTGATCAGTAATTTCAATTATAAACATGTGCAGGAGGGGGAAAAGGAAAAAGAGCCGAACAAATCTGTTCACAGTTGTCGATTTGTTCACCATGTCAAATTTCATTGCATTATGACAATGTTAAATTGACTTTTCAAATTGAATTGGAAAGGAGGGAGGGGGAACTGGAAAAGAGCCATTATTTGTTGCCATTTAGTTCTTGATTTTCTACTTGAAAGTGTTTTGGGATATTAAAATCGGTTCAAATTTCAAATATTAAAATCGGTTCAAGTTTTTTCATGAACCTGTTTCCGTTAGAATTGTATATTATATGTTAACTCATCGTTAAGAAGCAGTTTGAGTTGCTGTCGGTCCGTTAATAGGGTTTTAGTGATGAAAATTGTAACTAAGATAAGCTGCATTAGGAAAAAAGTTCAGAATAGCTATTTCTTTTGATCTATTTCCAAGAATAGTAGTTAAATCGAATTATGTCTAAATTTTACATCATATTTGTCAATATTTGTCTATTCCCCTGTAAACATTTTGATGTTGTCCGGAAGAAGGTCCAAGAATTCGCAGACTGCCTTTGGTTCCGAAGGCAATTCGTCCAGAAGATCCTCGACAAATATGACGATGATCTCAATTCCCTTTCGCTTGAAGTCCTCCAAATCGTCTTTTGAATCCCGAGAAAACAGTTCTCGTTTCTCCGTTATGAAGCAGAGACCTCGCTTGACTCCGATTTTGAAACACTGGCCGGCCATCAGGCAAATCAAATCGACATACCCGTTATCATTGATTTCATCACTGTTTCTAATCTGCACATAAGTATGCAAATTGTCGTCCTTTTTCATGACGCACGAAGCGTAATGGGGCCTCAGTTTTGCATCGTCGATTTCATAATTGGGTCTAGTAGTCTTGAGTAAAGTGACAACCAATCCTGCGAAGTGCGCTAGCGTGTCTTTTGGCTCCAAATCAAGATGGGCACTCAAGTTATGATCTTTCGGTGACCGGAAGACTTTGATTAGCGACACCAAGGAATGTCTAATTGCCAAGTGAGTCTTCTCGAGAGCTTTCTCGGTGAATGCAAGGTTGTCTTGCAGCATTCTGAGCTGAGAGTTAACTCCTTGAATCTGATTCTCAAGTTTCAAGACAAGGAAACTTGATTTCTTGGATGAAATCGGCTCGAAGTCGCTAAGTTCGGCGTCCGAAGCTAACAGCGCTGAAACCCTGGATCCATTACTTAGCCCGCGAGTGTCGAATCGTCCAATAGGAGGCTTAGAATCGAAGAGCCCCTCATACAATCTGTCATGGTCTTTTTCGAAGACATCGCGAATGTCTTCAATTTCAGTGATTCGCTTCTTAAGGCGCTTTCGCTTCTTGAGCAAATCTTTCGCTCTGTCTTCTAAATCTCCAAGCACTTTCCAAAGTTCTTCGATTTGCTTTGTGAAGTCCTTGGCGTTATTTTTGCCTTTTTTGGAGATGAACTCAATTATATCTGCGAGGGTTTCAAGAGGACTATCCGAAGAGAATTGAGGTAACGGTTGATGTGTAAGGGACAGAGTTCTATGTGTTTTGTTGAATGAGAAAATTTTCTCATCATCGTCGTTGAAAATGTCATCATTCTCAAAGTTTTCTTGTTGTGAGCCTGATCTTGAGAAAATTTTCTCGGTATCAGGAAAAACATCAGCTGGGTCTAAAACCGATGCCCGTTTTGAAGAAGCGGCTGAAGCCATATTTGGAGTTTTTTTAAATCTAAAAGATAGAAACGGTCTGAATATTTTATTGTGTGATAGAAATGCTCTTTTTGTGCGTTACATTGAGTACAAACGCAGCTTCAAGAGAAGATTGGTGTTTTCTCCACGTGCGAAATTACTTTTGACGTTTGTATACGGAGTAGTTCGTATGAATAACAGTTGGTGAATTGAAAGATGGCTGAGAGAAAAACTTGCTGAAAGGTGTTTTGAACGGACTTAATTTTGACTGGATTTTGCTGTATTAATTCACGTTGAATTCCCTGACACATGATATCTTTTTGGATTTTGATCAGTTTATTTTTCGGCTAAATGAGGAAAGCTTCATCAGATTTTACGTTCCATGAACCAAATTGATCTGGAACTCCAATATTGAGAAAAAATTTTGGCGGTAGATTGTAAGAATTGTGTTACTAAAAAGGTCATTTTGTGTGTGAGTACAAAAGGCCAATGAAAAAGCATTCTAGTGATACTAATCATTCGGCGACTGGGTAAATAACCAACCACATCTACTATTTATTCACTACTGGGATATTTTGAACCTTTGGAGAATTGATATTTGACGCTTTTGTGAGTGAGTTTTGAAACTTATTGGCAGTTATAACTTTTTTTAGTTTATTAATGCGCAACATAATGGCAAACTTGTCTTAATGAATCTTGAGTACTCGTGAGAGAAGAAGAGGAAGAAGAAGTCTTGGGTGGAATAATGGCGGCTGTCAGAATAGGCAGCAGTGCCGTGCCTATCTTCATACCCGAACAGGCTCTGCAGGTTTGTAGATTAGAAGGTTTAGTTACATTCTAAAATGGTCGAGAGCTGAGCAATGTCATGTAAGATGTTGTGAATTTTGGATCTGAACTGATGAACTGAACGAATATCTGTTTCTGTAGTTTTCCTGTAACTAATTGAGACACAGGCTAATTTTTGACATTGATAGATGAAACCATTTGAAAAGATCTAGTTTGATCAAAAGAAAATTTTAAATATAAAGGAGTTTAAAAGGTTATTCAAACACAAAATAAGATTGTGAAGATTTTTTGCTGCTAAATTTAGCCTGAATTTTAAACAATGGTTTTGTCACCGATCTTTTTCTTATCTAGGATTCACTATTTTGAAGCATAATGAACAAATTCTGAAAAAGAAATTGTTAATCGATCGTTTGTTCTCGTATGGTTTACGAAAAATTAGTTAAACTCAGGTACCAGAAAAAGTAACGGGGTTGATTGAGTGATATCACATTTAAGCTCTTTCAATCGTGATTCGCATGGCAATAAAAAGTTTTCTCAGTGTCGAGAAAAACCGGTTTGAAATTTTTTGATTTTCAGTGTAATTTCGAGCAAGTAAGTTTTAAGCTTTTATTTAAGCCCAAACAGCGCTTCCTCGGCAATAATGTGTTTTATCGAAGTCTGAAAAAATGTGTTATGACGTTTTTTATTCATTTTTTGTCAACAACTGTAGTCCATTATGCTTTTCATGCTACGAGCTAGTCTTTTTTCTCTCATCATGCCACGCACAAAAAGCGACACAAACTTACGAATTTAAAAATATGTAATTATATCAAATATTCTGAAGTTGAGTAAGTTTAATCGTTAGTAATACATATGGAATTTGTTTTCACAGGTAATCTTTGTTTTCACAGCTAGTGTCTTGTAATCTTGAACTAGGTTTTTTTCATTTAACAACTTAGACTTGAAATCTTAAAAATATGAACTTTCTGAATTATGAAACTTGGAGAAAGGCCTGGAAACAGCATATAATATTAGCCATTCAGACAGCTGGCTGTTTAGTGTGAAGGTAAAGTGCTTGGTTAAAGGTCCTAAGGTCTGGGGTTGATTACCGGTCTGACTTTTTTCTGCTATGTATTTATGAACTTATTGGGGCGTCGTCTCAATTCTTGTCGGCTTAGTTGCGTTCTGTTATTTTCTCTAACTATCAATTTAATTTCATTTGATTGTGGTTTCTGACCATTGTGAATAGAACAATCGAGCTTGGAATCATAATTTTTGTCGATGATTTTTTGGTTTTCTTGTTTTCGATTGTGAGCTTAAATTCAGTCAGTTTAATTTTAAACAAGAATTTTATAGGCATATATGGTTTCTTGTGCTAAAACACTGACAGACTAGGAACATTTAGATTTTTACGTAAATAAATTTTGGCGGTAGATTTTTGACGTTAGATTTTTTCAAGTAAAGATTCAACTGATTTTTCGAACTTTCGTGCTTCGGTTCAAAATTTGTCGGCAGAATTCTGATGTAAACTTCTAATTTTCTCATATTTCCAATGGAATTGTTGAGTACTCTTTAATTAACAGGGCGAGTTTTTCATGGAAAACCTCGACAGAAATTTAAAGAAAATGATATTCTTAAATGCTTTAGATTTTGTGACCAGCGAAAATTGGCTCGGAAAGTCAAAAACTTTTATAATGCTTAAGAAAATTTTGGTAGTTTTTTTCCCGTCTTAATGGGCGTCTATCCAAGTTTTGTCTGCGTAAATACTGCCCGGTAAGTTCTCTAAATTATGTTTGTTTTCCCCGTAAGGTTCTCATTTCATTCAATCCGTTTGAGATAAACGTCTAAAAAGTTATGGGTTAGGTTTTTGCGATATTTGTGTGTATTTTTGGGTTATATAGCAGTATTTAGACAACCGCGTATTCTGCGTTTCAACCAATCAGAATCGAGACAAACAAGAAATTAATAAAATAATTATTATTTTTTTTTGTATTATTTATGTCTTTTCTCGATTCTGATTGGTTCATACAGTACTTGTCTAAATACTGACGAGTATGAATACGCGGTTGTCTAAATACTGGCTGCACTCCGTATTTTTGTCTCTGATATTCGATAGTTGATAAATATTCAAAATATATAAATGTTTGTTTTTGGTTTCCTTGATCTCATTGAAACTTTTAACTGTCTGTCGGCTATGTTGTTTTTGTTATTACCTCGCCTTTTTTGACACAATATGAATAATAATTTTATCGTAAAGTTACATGCAACGATTATGAATCTCAACTGAACTAGTTTTTGTTTAGCGCGCTACTTACTCGTGCAAAAATGTTGTTTTATACTTCAAAGTAAAACTATCGCAGTGTATACTTTATGCTGTCAGAAACTAATGCTTTCAAATCTGAATATTTCAATCTGAGATTTGTTACAATTATAACTTCAACGCTGAATGATTTTACAAGGAACAATCTCTTCATCATTTTTTGTCACTTTTGGATGAGTTTTGGACTCGGCGTTGGTTAAACAAACAAAAGCCATAGACTTGGCTGAAATTTTGCAATGAAACATTTGGAAGATGTTCTTTTTGTCAGTTCTGTTTTTGCCAAAAAATTAACTTGGTTAACAACTCATTGCTTTTTTCATTAGTCCTTAGTGTTTCTTGAAGAGGTTCAATTAATTACAGATTTAAAATTTTTTGGCATTGCTTTTTTTTTACAAAGGCGAACTTACAAGCGTTGTGTTATCAGATTTTTCCTAACAGCGTATTGTGTTTTCTGCGTCAAATCTTATGAGTTAGCGAGTGTTTCTAACTCTAGCCGCTTTCTCAAAGCGCCTTTTGTTGCTGCGTGATGCCTAGGATAAAATTTTTAAAATTTACATGAAACGAACAAGGCTCTTCGGTTGCGACAACAGTCTTTTGGGCGAGAGGTACCGAGAAGTTCAAGTACCGTAGTATCCGAGGTAATAAATAGTATAAAATATTCGTTATTGTTGATTTCCTTTCAAAGTTAAAGTTAAAGTTGATTTCCTTTCAAAGAATTTTTCATACAAGCGAGTTTGCGATCATAGTGTTATAACGTTCCAACTCACAAATAAAAATTCTTTATTTGGTAATACTTTTATTGCATTAGTTTTGGCAAGCATGCGTTAACCACTTTATCAGTGGCTGGTGTTTATTTTCTGTACGCGTCTGTGGCATAGTTGTGTAGGGCAGTCGTTTTGACTGCTTGGATGTCCGAGAATTGAGTCTCGTTTTTTTTTCTTGATTTTGCGAATTGAAGCTTCGCCTCTTTCTTTTGCGTTTGTTTTGCTTGTGTTTGCGAAATGCAGCTTCACCTCGCAAAAGAAAGAGGTGAAGCTGCTTTTTGCGAGTTAATTCTTTTCAAACTCAGTGAGTTTGAAAGATGATTCTTCAGTAAATAAACTATTTGAGCTCTGTCAAACCGCAAATGACCAATTTGACGCCATGAAAAGGATACAGTTTGACTATTCATAAATGTAGTACTGTAAGTATGTGCTGACGAAAACTCCAGTGTTAGCATAATCCGTTATTCGAACGTGTTATTTGACTGTAAATTATACTTACGAATTATCTGTATAAATTAAAAGGACGTTCAAAAAGAGTTCTAGGTAGATATTTTAGATAAAAAAATAATTTAATGCAATATATAATCAAGACAATCTATTATCTATTATATATTTAAATGCGGGCTTCAGTATCTCGCCATGTTTAAGCTTTTTCAACGTATTATTTTTGCATGTTTAAGCTATATCGTATATTGCAATGGTTAAGATTTTTCGATTTCCCAATTTGATTTAAGTGGTTATTTTACCGAGTTCAAATTAAGCAACCCAATATCGAATTAGGGGTTGCGCATTTGGCGTCCAATTTTGAATGCCCGAATCATTTTAGTTAACGAGATAAGACGATTTTTGAGATTTTTTCAAAAATTTCAAATAATTTACAAAACCTGAAGTTCCCAACCCTGTTGTTGGGTGCTGGCAGAGTACTCTAAGGAGCTACAAATCTTGCCTCCAAATATGATAGTTCAAATCCTTGTAGTTTTTGAGATATGACGTTTTTTGTTCTTTTTTCAAAAAACTTTCAGAAAACATATTAATTTATTTTCGCAAAATTTGAAATTCCGAACCCTGTAGTTGGGGTTGTCAGAGTAATCTCAAAGATTGAGAATCTATCCTCCAAATATGACTGCTCAGTTCTTTGTAGTTTTCGAGATAAAACGTTTTTGTGATTTTTTTCAAAAATTTTCAGAAAACTTAAATTATTATTATTTTTAAAAAATCTGAAATTCCCCACCCTGTAGTTAGGTACTGCCAGAGTACTATCAACCATCGCGAGTCTTGCCTCCAAATACGACTGCTCAAATCCTTGTAGTTTTCGAGATAAGATATGATGTTTTTTAAAATTTTTTCAAAAATTTTCAGAATATTTTAATTTATTATTTCTGAAAATTTGAAATTCCCAACTTTGTAGTTGGGTGCTGTCAGAGTACTCTAAGGAGTTAAAATCTTGTCTTTAAATATGACTGTTCAAATTCTTGTAGTTTTGGAGATATGGCGTTTTTTGTGATTTTTTCAAAATTTTCAGAAAGTTTAAATTAATTATTTTTCAAAATTTGAAATTCGCAATGCTATAGTTCGGTGTTGTCAGGGTACTCTAAAGAGTTGCAAATCTTTCCACATGCGACTGCTCAAATGCGTTTAGTTTCCGAGATGTGACGTTTTTTGATTTTTCAAAATTTCTCAAAGAACTTATCTACAAAGAAATTTAAAAAATTTGAAACTACTAACTTGATGAAGATACAACCTTATTGTCAGCGTACACCCAGGCGTCTCAAATCTTGCCTCTTAATTTGAATGCTCAAATCCTTGTAGTTTCCGAGATAAGACATTTTTTTCATTTTTTTTCGGGAAACTTAGGTTTAAAAAAATTCACAAAATTTTGGATTCCTAACCCTTTAGTAGGGTGCTCTCAGGGACTCTCAGTGGTTGCAAATCTGGCCTCCAATTTTCTCCAGAGTCCCATTAAGTTTTCGAGATGACGCTTTTAAAATGGGAATTTGAAAAAATTCAAAAGTTCCAAATTACCAACCCTGTATTTGGGTGCAGTCAGAGTACACTAAAAGTTTGCAGATGTTGTTTCCAATATATGCGGTTTTTCATGATTTGTCGAAAAATTTCGAAGGTGCGTTAAACGCTAGTTATATTTGTTTCCACAACAATTTTCTAAGTGTTTTCGATTAGTACAGTTTTCTGAATATTGGATTATTTTTTATTTTCTAAATTACTCAGAAGTGTAAGAAATACTCTTGTCTTATGTTCTCTAGTTAAATTTTTTCGCAAAGTAACTTTCATTCACGATTATTTCAGTCTCCGAAGAAGGAAGGGTCCACGCTATTTTCATCCACGTGTAAGTGCTGCGCCCAAAAATGTCTCCCAAGAAGAACCAGAGCCAGGCGCAAACTGATTCTAGCTGTCTTAGTTATGCTTTTTGTCCTGTCAATTTTACCATTTCTGTTTCTGACTTTACTGACAAATAAAATTGGCCAGCAGACATCTTTGTCGAAGAAAGACGAATTGTCTGCAGAAATCAGGGAGGAGACATATTCTGATGCTCTTCAACAGAGTGAAGAACAGAACGAAAATCAGAAAAATATATTGTCAGCTGCTAATTCGCAACAGGTAATAACTCAGTGCTAAATGCCTTAGTTTGTGAGTTTTTGAACAAAAACCACTGGACAGAAAATTTTGAATTCAAACTGATAAGTAAACTACTTTATTGTGTTTAGACCGCGGAGCTCAAGAAATTAGTCACATTCATTTCGCAATCATCACAAAGTAAGTGTGGACGTTTTTCTTTGTTTCTCGGTTTTTTTTCTTCAGATATTAGATACATTAATCAGCACCTGCCTTGTAAGTATCAAGTTGTCAGTAAACTTAAATAATGTTATACCCTAAAAAGCTAATTAATATTCTATCGATATAAAAAATAGTTAGGACCGCACTAAGTATAGCAAAAGATAGAAAAGATATAAAAACAATTTAAAAAGTTTTTTTTAAATTAAATTTTCAATTTTTCCTCTAAAATAAGGCTTCAGGAAGTAATTGATGAACTAAAAACAGAAGCGTGCTAGTTAGTATTGGAAGTGGATTTTTGTGTTCACTTCTCTAATGGTAAATTTAAAATTCATTCTGAATAGCAAAATTTTCAGACCATATTTTCTCGACACAAAATTTTTGGATTTTTTTTCAGAATCGAATTCACGACACAATGGCTTTGTTTTGATAACAGGCTTCAGAGTCATAAGAGCGTTCTTGGAGGTGCATAAAGTCAAGAGAAATCTTATCCATATGCCATAGTTTCCCCACAGGTCCTAATGTGTACATAGTTGATGCTGAATTGTCGGCAGTATCGGAAACTTTAAGCATCTTTTTTTAAAGTTAAATATAATTTTGATCTATCCTTATTGAGTAAAACATTATTTTGCTCTATCATAATTTTGCTGAATTTTTGGTATCAACTTTATATTCATTTGCAGCATATCGACAGCAGGCAGTGATGGAAGCGTGTAGACATGCATGGTTGGGTTATGAGCAGTATGCCTGGGGCAAGGATGAGTTAAAGCCAATTAGCAAGAAGAGCAGCACCTGGTTCGATCTGGCACTCACTCTAGTGGACAGTCTGGACACACTATGGATCATGGACATGCAGCCAGGTATGCTCACTAAAGAATTTTTGAACTTTGTTTAATTAGCAGACACAGAGAGGGGTGTGCATGTGGTGATGATTTAATGCGACTTGCACGCAGTAAACTTGAACTCTGCAGCTTTGCAGATGTAGTTTAACATATTCAAATTTTTTCAAAAGAAATTGCCAACACTTCATGTGTATTCAAACTTCATGTGCATTCAAACGATCACCGAACTTGGTATAACTTGATAATCTACCAAAATGGTGCTAAAACTAATGATAACTTTGGTTATAGCTGATACAAGGATTGAAGGAAAGCGCTGATTTTGGAGCCTGTGGTACTTCAAATAGAAATGGATTAAAAAATTGCGTTACTTTACGGCTGATACCTCTGGATTGGATCAACACAGCTACACGGATTTCACATCATCATTCATGTATTGGATTGATTAAACGTTAATGAAGCCATGGATTATCTAAGAGCGAATAAACGTATAATTTTGGATCTAGCTGATTTTTGCACCTTTACTCTTAATTGAGGAAAAAAGATCAAAAATTTAAAAACGTTTTTTAAAAGTCAATAATTGTGTTTTAGAGCTGGAGAAAGCGATGATGTTCATGCGAGACAGCTTCAAAGTAGACGTGAACAGAGATGTCAATCTGTTCGAGACCACAATCAGAGTGCTTGGAGGACTTCTTTCCATGTACAATCTATCACACGACGAACTATTCCTTCTCAAAGCGGTGAGCCTTTTAAGGCACTGTTTTAGTCGATACAACTGCTTTATCGTAAAAGACTAGTAGCTAGTTTTTGTTCGAGATAAATGTTTTTGTTTGTTCGAGTTTTTGTTTAAGAGTAATGAACGTATTGAGTACTCTTATATAGGTCTCGCTGCTGATTTTTTTTGTTTTTTTTTTTTCAGGAAAGTCTTGAAATTTGTTTAAGTTTTATTTTGGTTTTTCGCGGTTTGACTTGTGATTTATTTTTAAGGTCAGCTCACTTCCTTTGTTAAAAGAAAGGCAAACTCCACTATCGAACAGCTAAATCGTAAAGGTTACGAAAAACGAGATTGTTTTCTAGTTTCGAAAATGGAAATTAATTATCAGATTTCCCAGCGAAATAAAAGTTTTGCCTATTGATCCAGTTTTCTCAAATTTGGTTAATTTTAACAAAAAATTGTCCATCATAAAATGTTCTACAAATTCAAAGAGCTTTAAGGCCATCTATTTTTTCTTCGAAATTCAAAAGTTGAAGGTTTTCGAAAAACGTGTCAGTTTTTTTTTCAGTTTCCTTGCGTTCATTACTCTTTTCCAACTGTCAGTTGGCTATGTTTGGTAATTTGGACAATGAAAGAGGAAACATCATTTTTTCTACAGAATGAGACTTGACCTATGCTAATTGCCGGGCAGAATTTTCACGTTAAAAAGGCTGTGAATTTTGATAATTGAATGTTTAAACAAAATCAATGAAAAGAAAAAAAATACCTGAAGGTTAATGATTAGATTTTTTATTGGAAGTCTGGGAAATCTGGTACATTTTCGTGCAATGATGTTCATAGTAACTATTTTGTAGTAACTAATAAAGTAATTTACTTTTTTCTTGTTATTAAGGGTGTATTGTGTAGATTAATCCAATATTATTAATCCATTCAAACTTATACGTTCAGAACTTAAATACAAACCAATAAATTAACACCTACTTTTTTAGCTCTTCTAATTTAGCTCTTCACTTTCAGAAAGACCTCGGTGAGCGACTGCTACCCGCCTTCAGCTCGAAGACTGCAGTTCCATTATCAGATGTGAATCTGCACACGAAGGTGGCCAGGCACCCTAAGTGGGGAGCAGACAGCTCCACTTCCGAGGTCACAACTATCCAGTTGGAGTTCAAAGAACTGTCCAGACTGGTGAACGAATCTGTATACAGGGTGAGTTGTTCTTGTCTTCAGTGCACAAGAAATAAACATGGCGGGGTTCCATTATTAGTGTGGTAAAAATATACGGTTTATTAAGAGCAATGAACATAGTGAAAACTCTTATATAGGTCTTGCTAATTTTTTTTTGTTTTTTTTAAGAAAAAGTGTTAAAATTGTTCACGCTCAATTTTGAGTTTTCGCGGTTTGACTTGTGATTTCTTTCTAAGATCAGTGCATTTCTATCGTTAAAACCAAACTCTACTATCGAACAGCAAAATTATAAAGGTCACGAAAAACCTGATCGACTTCTAATTTCGAAAATAGAAATTAGTTATCAGATTTCCCAGCCCAAAATTTTTTTACGTATTGATCCAGTTTTCTCAAATTGCGTCAATTTTAACAAAAAAGCGTCCATCATAAATTGTTCTACGAATTCAAATAGCTTTAAGGCCATCTATTTTTTTCTTCGAATTTCAAAAGTTGAAGATCTTTGAAAAAACAAGCCGGTTTTGTTTCAGTCTTGCGTTCATTACTCTTTTCTAGTTGTTAGTTAGCTATGGTTTAATTTTTTTATCGCTATTTGACATCGATATTTCGATCTCTCTCGAAATCTCAAACGACTCCACGAAATTGGGTTCTATAGTAGTTACTTGCTTTCACGAAAACAAAGGAAACGAAGTTTCGCTGTTCATTCAGGATAAGGCTCTCGCAGTATCTATGCATGTACGAAGTCTGGAGAAACGAGACAATCTGGTGAATTATTTCATCAACCCCAACTCAGGAAAGTTTCGACCGGGTGTGCTGACTCTGGGAGCTAGGGCAGACAGTTATTATGAGTATTTACTCAAACAGTACATACAGACGAACTACACCGAACCTATGTGAGTTCTCAGTATTTTGCGATCTTTTCTTTTGGAATTTTATGGATGCTCTCAGGTGCTTATTTATTGGTGGGGCGGGGATCATAATTATTGATATAAGGTGTTCGATATAATTAAACACCTATAAATAAATAGGTCTTAAAACAAAAAATACGTGTATTGATAATAACATTGAAACTCGGGCGAACACTAACAATGCTAAATCATTTATAAAATGCACCATGGATCTGATTAATTATCTTACCCCATTATTCGCAGACGCCAGCACATTTCAGTACATAACGGACAAAAAACCAGCTGCTATTGCAATTTGCCGCACTAATTAAAACACTAGCGTATAAGAGGAAACTAGTTTGGTTTGTTGATGGCAAATTTAAAGTCATTTCAAAATCGTTTTATCACCCGTCGGTGTTGAGCATTTTTTGGAGTTGATATTTAGTTTTCCTTTTGAAAAAATATTTAAATTTAATTATCAATTTAAATTTTGATCGTACAAGTTAAATTTCAAAGCTTTCAATTTTGTAGCAATTAAGGTAAAAACGTTTCAACAATACTAGGAAGATATATTTAATAATAAGGATAGCAGGTTGCTGTGCAAGCAGCACAGAATGTTCCGACTGTATTCTTCAAAGCAAAAAGCAATTTTTTTTCAATTTGGTGTCGTTTTTTGTGCCTGGTGAGATAAAAGGATCTGAAAGAAAGCCTAACACTTTGGCATATTCGACACTCTTAGTAAAATAGTTCAGATGATCTACAGTTTTGGTCGAAAAAGGACTAGAAAATAAACAAACGAAAAAAGACTAGAAATAAAGTAAAAACAATTCAAAGTTTTTTTCTCAAAATGGTAGAAAAATTTCGAAAACTAATTTTACTGAAGTAAAATTAAATTTTCAGTGCTGGAATAAAAGTTCACGGCTTATTCTTCTTCTCTAAAAGGCCTAGTATAAGTCTGTTCGCTCGCTATATTCTCTCGACATTAGACTAAAAATCAAAAATTTCTAATCGGTTTTTCTCGTCACTGGGACAAATTTTTGAAAAATATTCAATGTTCGAATCACAACAGAAAGGGCTTTAAAATTACTCAGTCTGATGATAATTTGAGGTACCTGATTTTGTACCTGAAAACAAAATACGTGCCCATTACAAATGGTCGGAACAATTACTGCATCGTATGCATTCTAATATGAGTTAGTTTTAATAATAATATTATCCTTGTAATAAGTTAGAGTATTTGAGTCGCGTACTAGACTTTTTGCCGTAAATGATTTTGTTCACATGACTCATTTCATCTTCTGGAATCCTTCGTATTGTGAAATGCTCAATTTTTTGAAAATTTTATAAAACTTCTAAACGTCATGTTTTAATCTGATGGGGTTTTTATTGGCTTACTTTCTAGATCGTATGTTTTATTCCAATTAAAGCAGTTTTTTCTACTGTAGTAATTTGTAAATTTACCAAGTCTGATTTTTGGGGTTTTTTTCGTTTCTTTTTGAAATGTTCAAACGGCTTCAGTTTATTGTATCGGCTCAGTCAACTTATTTTGCATAATTTCGAGGGCAAATATGTTCGCCGCAAGCGATAGTGTTCTAGCTTGGATGGATGGGTCTTAAAACCAACTTTAAGGCAATATTTAATAATTAAGTGTCATTGAACATAGCGAAAATGATTTTTTTTTCGTCGTAATGATTCTTAAAAGATTTTTTTTTGGATTCACCCGGTTTGACTTCTGATTTGTTTTCAAACTCGTTTCATATATTTTGTTACAAAGAAGGCAAACTCCTTTATCGAACAGCAACAGTGAAAATCTTACGAAAAACGTGAACGAATTTCGATTGTTGATTTTAAGAGTTTTTAGTGGAATTAAAAAATGACCATAAGATCCAGTTTTCTCAAACTGCGTTTGTTTTGTCAAAAAATTTTCAAACAAATTCAGCTTGAAATTAGAAAATTTTACAGGGCATAATTTTTTGAACATATAGACGGTTCTATGGCAATACTAAAAGAGAGAAAATGGTCCCTTATTTTCTCAGCGTTGAGAGTTTTGAAAATTTCTCTTTGTATAGATTATTAAAATAATTAGAAACATTCTCTCTGAGCTTCGAAACAGAGTTTCAATACTTTCCTTTTTGTTCCGACTTTCGATACGAAAGTAACGGAATATTTGTGCTCGGGTGGGTTTTTTTTCTTCAGACAAATTTCGACTTTTTAACTAGCCATTTCTGACAGAATTTTTTAGATATTTTTCGAAAGGTGTTGTCCTGAACTCAAATTTGAAAACATATTTTACCCGTGATTATTTTTCGTAAAGTTATGGGGGTTTAAACGCTGCCATTTTGGCTAATTTGGGACAATTAACGCGCGATATATTTCGCGCTAATAACGCGTAAGCGGAGAGTCAATCCGTCTTAGAAATCGTTCCAAATTGGTTGAAAGAAGCTTATTTGCCATAATTGATTTGCTAAGAGGAGCAAAATCTATCCTTTTGTACTTTATATGGCGTGTGGGGGGATGATTTTCATAAAAAATTTCAAATTTTAGAATTTTTTTTCTTCATTTTGTTACATTTCATTTAATTTTATTACTGCTCCATAAGCCTTAAAAGGCAGTCGGTCGGAACATTGAGGGCTTCGCCTTGATACGAGCAGTCTTGTTCACCAGTCTTGTTTCCACTCTTACCTCCGCATTGCAACTGTTCAAAGTTGATAATACTTACGCATGATAGCATGGCTAAATGCGTGATTTGTTAATAGGTCTGAAGAATATCTATGTTCAGAGTAGTTAATCTGTTCACCATGCAAAGTTTCTTTTTTTTCTGGCAACGTTAAACTAGTTTTTCCAAACTTAAATGAAAGTGGGGCTAAAATGGAACAAATCTGCTCGTATCAGGGCAAAGCCCTGAATGTTTCGACGGCCTTTTGAGGTTTATGGAGCATTAATAATCAAAAAAAATAAATATATTAAAATGAAAAAAAAAATTCTCAAATTTGAAATTTTGTGTATGAAAAACATCCCCCCACGCGCCATATAAAGTACAAAAGGATAGATTTCGCTCCTTGTAACAAATCAATTATGGCAAATAAGCTTTTTTCAACCAATTAAGAACGATTTCTAAGACTAAATCTCAACCAATTAAGAACGAATTTCCAAGACTAAATCTCAACCAATTAAGAACGATTTCTAAGGATTAAATCTCCGCTTCCGCTTAATAGCGCGAAATATATTAAACCCCCATAACTTAACGATTAATGGTCACAGGTGAAATATCTTTTCAAATTTAAGCTCAGGACAATAATAGCTTTCGAATGATATAAAAAAAATTTGTCAAAAAAGACTAGTTAATAAGTCGAAATTTGTCTGAAGAAAAAAACCCACCCCGAGCACAAATATTCCGTTACTTTCGTATCGAAAGTCGGAATAAAAAGCTGTATTTTTACTAAGTTGTGTCACAATTCATCTTTCCACTTCATGTACGTCTCGCTTCAGCGTTGTTACTGCTTCCGATGTCTTTGACTCGGAGAGCAGCTTAAAAGTGCATTTATTTTAAAGAATCTGAGTAATATTTGCAACTGGACATAGCAAAGCAGCGGGTACTCAGCAACGGGCTAAATTTATCAAATCAGTAATTTTTGTGTTGCAGCATCTTAGCTGTTTAAAGATGCAATAAAGCATATTGAAGAGAGGTGGGAGAAGTGGGTCCTCCTCGGGTACTAGGGATTCACAATTGACTTCAGTTAAAGTCATTTTTGAGTGAGTGAGTAACATTTGTTTAGATTCCGAGAGGAGTTTGAGAAAGCAGTGCAAGGTATAACTGCACGGCTCACCCGTCAGACGGAGAAGCAGAAATTGTGGGTGGTGGGAGAACAGTCAGTATCTCAAGCATTCCTTCCCAAAATGGTAACATTTGTTCTCTTGTTGGTAATGATTGTTGTTTTGTTTAAAATTTCGTAGTTTTTGTTTTTCAGATCCTTGAAAATGGGTTTAAAATTTGTTCACGCTGTGTTTCAGTTTTATTAACGATTTTTATGAAACACTCTAAATGTAACATCAAAATGGAATCAGTGTATATTATCTCAACGCCCTTTCAGTCAGGAATCGATAGACTTGTCCAACCGGTTTAAAGTTTTCGCTTTTTGTCTAGTTTCGAAAAAGCAAAATAATACGAAACTCTTTTATTTCAGACGTGAAACACTTTCTTTTTTCTGGGAAAACAAATTTCGATGCTTCATTTGGCGCTTCCACAAATTCAAAAATAAGCTGCAAAAAATTAGTTTTATTTAGATTTTTTTGTTTGCTCTGCTATCCAATTTTGAATAAAACTGTAGTCGATTATGCCTGTTTTACTGGTGTTGCAAGCTCTCTTCTAGCTTATCTCATCCGACCGCGCACAATAAATACACTTAATTTTGGGTATTAAAAGTCCTGAACGTAGTAAATACTTTTAGATAAGTCTTAATGACTTTTGTTTGTTTTTTTTTTCGAGGAAAAGTCTTAAAATTTGTTCACGCTTGGCTTTAATTTGGTTTGTCGCGGTTTGATTTATAGGTTGAGTGCTAAATCATATTAAAAAGTTTTTTTTTCAGTCAGAAATCGATAGATTTTTACAAATTCCAAAAGGTTTTCTCACTTACTAGAAAATATGGTTTGAAAATTTTATTTTTGCAGTTTTGAGCGAGTAAAGGAAGTTATTATTTTTTATTCGTTATGCTGTAGATTGTTAAGAGTCATGAACATAGTGAATACTTTTATTAAGAGTAATGAACGCAGTGGTGACTCTTATATAGGTCTTGTTTATTTTTTTGTTTTTGTTTTTTTTTGTTAGGAAAAGTTTCTAATAACTACAGATGTGCACTTAGATATATATGCACTTTTTGAGTTCAATTGAATTTCATCTGTAGGAAGTGACGTAAATAGCACTCTCCAAATACGAACTTGGAAATCGCGCAAAAAACGTGAACTATTTCTAGTTTCGAAAGTGGAATTTGATCTTTAGATTTCCAGCGGAAAAAAACATTACCTTTTGATCCAGTTTTCTCTAGTTGGGTTCATGTTATCAATAAAGCACCAATCACAAATTGTTCTAGAAATTCAAAGAGCTTAAAAGGCATCTATTTTTTTCTTTGAAATTCGAAAGTTAAGTTTTTTTAAGAAGATCAGTTTTTTTAATGGTTACTTGCGTTCGTTACGTTTTTTCATTCTTCGATTGGCTATGTTTTAGGTCTTGGTGTTTTTTCACTTTTTTTTCAGGAAAAATGTAGTTCAGACTCTTATATAGGTCGTGATGTCTTTTTTTGTTTTCATGAAAAGTCTTCAAGTTGTTAAGGCTAAAATATACTTTTCGCAGTTGACTTTTGATTTTTTTAGGTTCAGTTCATTTCCTTTATTAAAAGGGTGGTAAACTCCACTATCGAACAGCGAAAGTTAAAAGGTCGCGAAAAATGTGATCGAATTCCAGTTTCGAAATTGGATCTTAATTTCTGGGTTTGCCAGCGAAATTGAAACTATCTATTGATCCAGTTTTCTCCTATGGGTTAATTTTATCAAAAATGTCGATCAAAAATAGTTTTAGCAGTTCAGAGAGCTTTAGGGCCATATATTTTTGTGAAATTTTTTCAAAAAACAAGTCTGTTTTTCCTGTTTCCTTGCGTTCATGACTTTTTCCAATTGTCTGCTGGCTTCGTTTTAGTTTTTAGCTGTGGAAAACAAGTTTTGAAACCTAGCTTTACCCTTTGCTGCCCTAAAAATTGCTATAAATTGAATAGCTTTTAAGATAGAGTTGTTTTCAAAACATTGAAAAACTTTTCAAAGAAAATTAGGTTTCGCTCTTGTCATTCAATTTTTATAAACAAATTGTTTATTAAGTTTTTTAATCAAGTTTCACAAAAATTTGAGTGAATCTGCTCAAATTGCCAGCAAAAAAGCCAATCACGCTCAAACTACGCACGCTCAATTTTTTTCTCAAAAATGAGAGAAAAAATTAAGTTTCTAGAAAATAAGAGAAAAAATTTTAAGGAATTTTCTGTGCAATTTGCCCAGCAACCAACAATTCTCGTTCAAAGTTGGATTTACTTTCACTAGTTTTTAGAACTAATTTATAAAAGAATTAAATTGGTCTTCGAAGTTGGATTGTAAATAGCTTTAAGCGAATTTGCACTCTCGGCTTTTTGCATTATTTGATTTCTGATCTTTATTCAGGACCACCTCGTCTGTTTCTACCCGGGTCTTCTGGCCCTAGCGAGTATACACGGGTTCGAACCACGTCATCACTACATGAGTCTGGCAGCTAACATCACGGAGACATGCTACGAAATGTACAGAGCACAACCCACTGGACTAGCTCCAGAGATTAGTCATTTCCATATGAGCGAACAAGCAAAATCACCCAATGCAGCTGGTGTAAAAAGTGGAGGGGCGGTGTCCGGGGGAGATTTGTATGTGAAGACTCTTGACAGGCATTACCTGCTTAGACCTGAAACAGTGGAGTCGCTGTTCTACTTGTACAGAATTACAGGTTAGTCTGTTTTTAGTTTTTATATGAACGAGTCGAAGTGTAAACGAGCTCCCGTATAAACCGGCCGAAAATAGGTAACGGCTGCATAAAGTTATCTGGCAGTTACGAAAGTCTTGCAAATTTCATTCAGTTACATAATCGTTATGTAACCGTTACGAAAGTCTTGCAAATTTCGGCTGGCTCAAATACTCTGCACATTGTCGGCTGTTTATTCACACTCGTTTTTATCTCGTTGGCTAGCCTTTAACTTTTTTGGTTAATTTCTTCTATGTTCTAAAAAAATGACTCTCATTAGTATTTTTAACGCTAACAATAGAACCATTGAGTTTTGTGATGTTTCGGAAATTTCTGTAGTTTTCAAGATGTCTGATTTTTGATTTTTTTTTGTTTTGAAGTAGTTTGATTAAATTGCGCTCTCCAATAAAAAAAAATGCACTTGGCGTGAAAAATGTGATTAAAATTACAAGTTGAGTATATTTGCAAAACAATTAATAATTGTTTCAAGATCAACTTGTTCATTGGCTTTTCGAACTGTCTGGTGGCTATTTTTGTTTTGTGCGTCATTTAAACTTAAATTAATTCACATAGTTTTACCTCGGCTGATGTTTTATCTTAGTTCATTCTGAGGTTGGTTTGCTCTTTGACTAATTGCGGTATGCATGCAGTATCCAAATAACTAGTTCTGAAGTACATGTTTTCTGCAATCTCCACTGCATTCTTTTAAGAGTTATCTTCATGACCTTCGAGGCATTCGGGTGTGTCCTTTTTCTGGAACCGCCTTTCTCAATTTTGAACTTGACACGAACAAGGTGGCATGACAGTCTACTACCAGTTTTAGTATCAGTGATGTTCTTTTTTTTGCAGTTTATGCGCTCTCTCTATTTATTTATTGAAGATCCTTTTCCGCCATGCATATTAATTTATTGCTGGGCGAACTTTGATCTAATAAAAGAGAAAGTGAACAAACTTGCACTCTGTGAGATGTTATCTTGAAGTGTTTACATTGAAGATAAACCTAGCCCAAGTCTAAGTGCGAGTCTTCTTGGTTCAAAGACAACTGCATCACTTTGCTCTATCTTATTTGGCTTCAAGCAGCCTGTAACCAAGACCAACCGAGTGGTGCTAGGCACCAAAAGTGACCATCTTCAACACCCTCACTTTTTCTTTTTTTTTCGCGAAAGACCGAATATCTCATCACCTGTCATAGCAGACAAATAAATCTGAATCTAATTAGTATTTTGTAACTAAGCATCTTCAAACAGGAACTTATTTAAATTCTACTTTATCGGAGATTTCTTATTTTTTGTCTCAAAGATACCATAAAAATCGAAAATATTGTTCACGCCTCCGGTAATAAATCGTGTCTGAGTATCGCCGCTTTCGCTATACTCTGTCAAATAGATCTCTGAAGCGTCAACTCGCTCGATCAAGCCTAAGGCTAAACAAGGTCGTCTTGTCTCAGTATTTGACCAACCCAAATCAAGAATCGCTTACAGAATATCGGTCTGTGACGAATAGAAGACCTCGAAAGCGAGACAGCTTGGCAACAAAACAAAGAGTGTGGAAAGACTTAAATCAGTAGACCAAACAACAAAATGTCAGCAATTGCATTGAGACTTCAAACAAGCCCGCTAGCTGTCCAAAAAATGCTGGACGTTAAGAAGATGATAGCTGTCTGTGTTCTTTTCGGACTCCTTGTTCAACCGATAAGTAGCGCCAGAATACCCAGGGATTCTGCAACCAATTCGCCATCGCCACTGTACCGAGAAACCAGCCAGAAAAAACTTCAAGTGACGGATGGTGTGTTCTTTGAACTCTTCTGCGAACGCCCCCACGAATGCTTCGAGGTGAGTGCAACTTTCTTTCCAAAAATAACTATATTAAAGACTGGTACACGTCCAATAATCTAAAGTGCAGCATAGGCTAACAGCAGTAGTGTGATGATAACTTTTTTAAAGCAAAGTACAGCAATTTTAAGAATAAGTTCTCTCGTTTTTTGTGGATTTATCTGATTTATCTTTCAACCAACTCTATATTTACACTTGTGATCAGCTTAGTATGTTATTAAGAACCTTCTTTTTTTCTAACCTAAGTTGCAAATAAAAGTGTTCATTAAAAGTGTTCACTTATTGGGAAATTTCACAGCATTTAAAATTGCATAGCATCTGTTCTCTGCTTTATTTGTGACTGACTAGTTAATGCTTAATATTAAGCTTCCGTGGCTTAGTGGTTAGTGTGCGAGACTCTTAATCTCTAGGTCGCAGTTTGGAATCTCAGAGGTAGAGGAATTTTGCTAAATCGAGGCTTATTTCTAATTTTTATTATTGAACTTTAAAGAGATGCTTTTTGTCATGTTCTCGTACGTTTTCGCGAAGCGAAGCTTCGCCTCTGTGTTATAAATAATTACAAGATATGATACTAGCGATCTCCATAGTATATCAGTATGAACTTTTTTTAAAATCTAATTCTCGCAAATAAAAGAGTTGATTGAAAGTGGAAAGTGTTCACTTATTTGGTGGCTGTTTGCTGTAATCACGATCTTGCATTGGAAATGTCATAGCATCTCTTCTCTGCTTTTTTTGCGGCTTTTGCTTGATGTTTTAAGCGTGAGTGGTTGGTACGTGAGACTCATAATCTGTAGGTCGCAGATCTAATTCAAGACCTAGCCAAATTTTTACTAATACGAGGTTATTTCTTTTTCGTATCGCACTTTATAGAGCCTCTTTTTGCCGTGCTCTTGTTAGTGTTTGCGAAGCGAAACTTCGCCTCTGTGTAAAGAATTAGTGTGTTATATAACGGATACACTCGTTTTTTAACCTCACTCGAAAATAAAAGCGCGATTTTATTGGCCTTTTTGCTGCATAGTAGGCAATTTTTTTAGCACCTATCTGTTTGCGTTGGTGGCTAGTGTATTGGCGACTACTGTATTGTATAGCGAAGATAGCTCAAATGCGAGGTAGTTAGACTTTTAATCTTTTAATGGTGGGTGTGTGTATTCCCTCATATAGTCACGCTTGCGATTAGCAAGGGTTATCAAACTGGAATATTGACTTTTTTTTTCAGGTTAACAATAAGTTTAACAGAATCATTTTAATCATTTTACGTTTGGTTGACAGGAAATCAGAAGTCAGACGTTAATTAGCGCATGTGGCAAAGAGCTAACGCACCTTACTATAATGGCAAATGTCAATGGTTGAAAGCCGGCCTCAGCACCAAATCTACCTGAATTTTGGGCATTTTTTACTCAAAATAAAACGTGTTCCGGTTTTGGGCAACTAATAGTTCCTAGAAATTATGCCTATTTTTCTTGCTAAATTTTTATTTGTTTTAATGCTGATCATTTGAAGTTTTTGGAAATTGGTTTCTTTATACATTCAAGTAGAGTTCTCTGTCTTTGGTGTAGTCGTAAGACCTATGCTTGAGGCTACAAATCTCAGAAGTTCGATTAAAGTCGGGGCCTGTTTTTTGTGGAAACTGAAAATTTTCGGTCATTTTAGACTTTCGTGTCTGATAATTTTTGTCGGCTTGGGTACCGAAGAAATGTTCACTTTCTTTGTTAGCTTTTTGGAAGCTCTTTGTAAAGTTTCTAATGGTGCAGGTAACTTTGTTCCAGGAATTTTTGTCCTTTTTTGCAATTTTTATAACTTTGTGACAAAAAAATTAGTGTCTTTTTATTTGCCGGTAATCATGGTCATTTATTTTTGTATCGCAAGTGCTGTGAATAGCTCCGATTCGCCTCTGGGTAAAATTTTTCTCTGTGTACTGAAGACCCTTTTATAGGACGTGATCTTTTTTCAGGCCAACTTTGATCTCTTATGGTTTAATTTCTGTTTAATTTCTTTTCAAATTCAGCCCACTTGCGTGGTTCATAGGAAGATAAGCTCAAATCGACCCGCCAAAGTGTAAAAAAAATATCGAAAAAGGTAATGACTTCTAGTTTAAAAAATGGACTTAAGTTCACTTAATTTTCAGCGAAACAAAAAATTTACCTATTAATCCAGTTTTCCCTAAATGGGATTACTTTAAATTAGCCTATCGTGTTATATATTTTTCGAAAATTGAATTTTTGATATCTGCTTTTTGGTTTTCTTACGTTAATTGACACTTGTTAAACAGTATGTTGGCTATGTTTTCATTTGCAGAGAGCCACTATTTGCGTTTTTTGCTGATGTTTGCCTTGTGCAGCTCCTTGTGTGTAGAATTCGGTTTTTGGTTTAGTTTCATAGATCTAATTCGGTTTTTCCACATTTTGCTGATACTCAAGTAGTAATGAGCGAAATTAGTTATGACTTATCAAAGTCTTGTTTTTCTTGGTTTTTAAGAATTTTTTTTACTCGTGTAATCGGAAACTAGACTTTTCCCGTGCATTTCACAATTTTAACTAATCTGTATAAAGTAACCTTGGCTTATTATGAAGCTTTTGTTTCTTCATTTAGCTGCCTAGATAGTGTAGAAGTAAAACGCCAGCTTGAAATTCCGAAGGTCAGGGGTTCAATGCTGTTTGTTGTGTTTTTCATCTCAAACCAAATATCCAGCCCACGAATATTTTTTCGGCTTATTGGTTTTCTGTGAAGTTTGCTTTTCTATTTTCTCCTATTATCAGTTGTCTTCGATAAACAGAGCACGAACAGACGAGTTCGGAATGGGCTAAAAGATCATGAAATTGTCCGATATTCAGATGCGATCCTCCGGTCGGTAGCAGGGCAGGTCAAAAATTAATTGGACAACTGAAAATTAAATTGCAATTAATTGGAATGTTAAAAATCAATTATCAATTAATTGAAACAATCCAAAATTAAATTGCAATTAATTGTACAATCAATTGCAAGCCCGAAGCATTACGCTTGGTTAACAATGTTTGACACGAGTTCACTCTCTCAGTATTTTTCGTTGATTTTCCGAAATAATTGCGTTTCCAGGTTTCGCGTCAGCGATGTTTGCCGAAGATCAGAATAAGCTTATTCTGCAGTCCTGAAAGTCATAAAATTGCTGTCTGATGAAATAAAAATTTTCATTTTAAGAGAAATGTGCGGGTATTTCTAAGAAAAGCGTTTGATAAAATTAATTGCAATTAATTGGTGGAGCGCAATCAAATAATCTTAATTGGTCAGGAATGAAAATCAATTAATTGCACAGAAAAATCTCGATTATTGCAATGGCAATTAATTTTTGACCTGACCTGGTCGGTAGCAATTATCTTTGAAGCGATTGCGTTTTTTCGGCGCGCGCTCCCCCATCAAGTTAAGTTATTTTTGGGCTCTTTCCTAGTTTCCCACCTACCCCCCTCGTGAAATTTCAAAACATAGCTGTTCAAAAATTGTTCACAGGTAGGGTTGTGCAGTTATTAGTAAGTAAAACTCGTTTACTAGTAAGTTACTGGTAAGTTACCACTTTTTTACTATTAAGTTACTTTTACTTACTAGAAAGTTTCAAAAACTCAGGGTCCGCTTGAAAACTACAAAGTTTGAAGACCCTGAGATTTTACACAAACTCAAAATCCGCGAAATAATCATTATGATCAGTATTATCAAGTAAAGCAGCGTTGCAGTATATGAAAACAAGTTTATCTGCTCTTTCGACTGATAATTGAGCCTCATTTCTTTCCAAAAATTCATTTTGGTTCAACTTACTAGTAATAAGCCTTATTTTACTGACTAGTAAGTTACTAGTACATTGACTAGTAACTTACTTACTAGTAAGTAAATCGGCACAACCCCCTATTCACAGGGCATTTTGCATGTACGAAATGTGAAAATTTTTTCACCTGTTCACGCTGACGCGTTTTAATGCATTTTATAACATGAAAAGTCATTTTAAATAAGTTTTCATATATTAAATTTCCGAAAAAATCAAAGGAGGAACTGGAAAAGAGCCATTTTTGGGTACTACTATGATAGAGTGGTCCGTTGAAAATAACCAGGTTCCTTGAGAATTTTTCTTGATCTAAACAATATGCTAATTACAATTTTAGGCTCTTTTCCAGTTCCCCCCTTTCAAATTCAATACTGAAAAGTTTATTTAACATTGTCATAATGCAATGAAATTTGGCGTGGTGAACAAATCGACAATTCTGAACAGATTTGTTCTTCATACTTTACAGCGTAACATCACGCATTTAGCCGTAATAACACGTAAAACAAACATAAAACTCGGTATTTTGAAAAGGGGGGGGGGGACTGGAAAAGAGCCAAAAATTGTAATTAGCATATTGTTTAGATCAAGAAAAATTCTCAAGGGACCTGTTTAGTTTCAACGGACCACTCTATCATAGTAGTACCCAAAAATGGCTCTTTTCCAGTTCCTCCTTTGATTTTTTCGGAAATTTAATATATGAAAACTCATTTAAAATTTTGAAAAAATAGCCAAGGGAACACTCTTCGAGGGACCACTCTAAGCATAGTAGTACCTAGTTGTGCGCCGAAGGACCCTATAGAAGAAGTTGGCTCTTTTTCCTTCCCAACCCCCCCCCCCCCCCCCCCCACCTCACTCAAACATTATTTTTATGGTCTAACGAGTGGTTTTAGAAGGTTAATTATGAAGACCAAATATGATTGTCATGGCCTAATTAGTTTGCATGTCAATTTTCATGACAATCGAACAATGTGAACAGTAACTTCAAATGTTAAAATTTGCAGGTGGGGGGAAAAGGAAAAAGAGCCAAGAAGTTTCGAGGGTTTTGTTAGCCAGATATATAACTGAATTTATCAAATTATATTACCAGTACAAAAAATTTCGACCACAGAGGGATTCGAACCCCCAATCTTCTGATTCGAAGTCAGACGCCTTATCCGTTAGGCTATGCGGCCTTACAATATGGTGAATATTCGCTGTATTTGGTCTATTGAATATGTTCAATGTTTTAGACATGCACAACAAATATACAGGGTGGCGTAATGCATATTGACGAAGATTGCGAACAGTTTTGGCAGGAAGAATGGGGCGGGTCTGGATTTGTACACTACTGTACCTGCCACTCTGAAAACGAATTGGAGCACAATTCAACCGAAGATTCGAATGAATACCCATAATGATGATGATCATGAACATCCCTTCCCGAGATGAAGAGAAAAATTCAACTTGGAACACGATTAATAATTGAAAGAAATTAGACGAAGGCAACTTTCCTTGCAAACAATAATAATGACGAAGTATTCGTATTCAAGAGCTATATTTGTGTCAAACCGCATGCCTTTTCTTTCACTCACTTAATTTATGCGGCCTCATTTTCAACATCAAACTCAGCAAGCAATTGAAAAAATAAAAAACAAGGAAAACGAAGATATATTCTTAAATTATTGTGATGTTTTACACAAGATAATGTTTTGTCAAAAATTCGACTTGATGATGTGTTTTTGCCAATTAAGCCGAGTACGGCAATCAATAAATATCAATTCAGTGGTACAAATATGATAGTTGGGTCCCTCAAAAAAAAGCAAGTATGACCAAGGCGTCCTAGGCGGGTCTTTTCTGTTATACGGCTCAAAATGGATCGTTACAATATTTGGAAAAACAGGGTCTTATGCACGGAACGGCCCAAAATCAGTATTTCTACATCTTTCTTGAATTCTAAATAATATGGTTGAATCTGATTGGCTAATCAGACACTCAAATTCAAACAACATGATACGGCATTTCAATTAAAACTCCCAGCATATAAAATTATTGGCCGAAATGAACAAAATTATAAAACTTAAATTCTGCTGAAGTCATTTTACGAAGTTTTCTCGATCCGAGCAAAGTTACCCAGGTTACTTGAAAAAAATTAAACGAAGTTTAACATTTTGGTAATTTCGGCTAATATTTTTATCTACTGCAAGTTTTGATTGAATTGCCTGAACATGTTGCTGGAACTTGAATATTAGCCAGACTGCATAAAACTCATGATATAAAAACTTTGATGCTGGTTCGTTTTGTATTTTCCGCGTAAGACCCGAAAAACAGACCATTATGCTCAAATCTGATTGGTTGAAATTAATTCTAGCGAAAATAATCTAAATTTTCATTAAAAACAGCTCAATTAACAGTTTTGGGCCGTATAACGGAAAAGACCCACAAAAACCACCGCGGAACAAGATAACATCCTTCCTACCCCCATTCTCCCCTCAAGCCGTTTGAATTGATTATCGAGCTCTCCCAAAGCACTAAAAAGACCTTGTTTTTAGCCAAATTTTCTACGCCGCAGCCAAAACTACGAAAAAACAGGCCAGAAAAAAAAACGTTTTCAGGCAATTTTGGAAAATTTTGACCGAAAAATTGCCTTTTTTTGGCGCGCGCTTCTTCCTCACAACTACTAAATATTGGAAGCTTTAGAAAATATTTAGGGTCGGTCAGCAATAAATGGATGTCTCAAAATAGTACAAAGCGTCAGCAGGGGATCGAATCCCTGAGGGAGGGGTTGTCCGCCCCTCCCCCAAATCTAAAATCTTTCATAAAAATTCTGGCTGTGCTGTTATGATTATATAAGTCAGCGCTCGTTCATTTTTGTTAGTTCGAAGTCGTCGTTCAAATCGATGTTTGTCGTAATCTTTGTCATTTGTCCGTTATGTTTTTAAAATGATAAAATGAATATTGCGGCGATGGTGAACAGAAGACTGTCCCGAGATGACAAACGATAGATTTCGAAAATTGGTGGCACTGTTAAAGGATGCTGTGCTGTTGTTGGAATCTGATACGAGATACTTCACCGAATGTTGAGATAATTGCAATTCTTGAAAGGATGGGGCTGTTAACCAGTCTGATTTCACGTCGTCTGGTTGCACTCCTCTGGTGCCATTATTAGTAGGGTGCAAATATGAAGGCTATCAGGTGTTCTTAAATGCCGCTTCTTATTTGCTGTTTAGTATTTGCCGTTTTTTCTAAGTTAGTGATGGTTTCATCGGCACTAAGAGGTCCAGTGGTTTTTCTAGTTCTTTGCGTGTTAGGTGGTGTTAACGAGTCTCAAGATTTACCTAACGTTCAAGTCTCTTAAAGTTCTGCATTGAACAGAATGACAACTGGTGCTAGTATTCCCAAAGGATCGAGAATCTGCGGCCTCTGCAAAATTGCCTAAGGATCAAGGCGTTTGGAATTAAGGCATTTAATGTAGATAAAAATGCTTCTTTTTGTAAATCGTGTCAATTAGTGTCAATTAATGTAGATAAAAATGCTTCTTTTTGTAAATCGGGCCTTTTTTGAGGTAGAAACCATCTAAGGGTTTCTTTCCCGAAAAAAAACACTAATTGCCTGTTTTACAGCAAGAAACACATTTAACTACTTCAATCGACACTCAAATGACTTAATTCCAAACGGCTTGGTTCTTGAGCAGTTTTGCAGAGGCGGCTTTTTCTCGATCCCATGGCACCACAGACCTACAATATCAAATATATATAGCTTGAGCCAATATTAGCCAAAAATAATTGAATAACAATAGTTGTGTTCAATTCTTCTTTGATTTGATTTATTGAAAAGTTGTTATTGAGCATTATAGTTTTCAAGTACAAAGGGTCAGCAGGGGATCGAATCCCTGAGGGAGGTGGTGTCCCCCGCCCCCTAAAATCTAAAATCTTTCACTAAAAAATTCTGGCTGGGCTGTTATGATTATATAAATCCGCGCACGTTCATTTTTATTAGTTCGAAGTCGTCATTCAAATCTATGTTTTTCGTAATCTTTGTCATTTGTTCGCTATGTTTTTTTAATTGGAAAATTGAATATTGCGGCGATGGTGAACAGAAAACTGTCCCGAGATGACAAACGATAGAGTTCGAAAATTGGAGGCATTGTTAAAGGATGCTGTGCTGTTAATGGAATCTGATACGGGAAACTTCTCCGAATGTTGAGCTAATTGCAATTCTCGAAAGGATGGGGCTGTTTTCACGTCGTCTGGTTGCACCCCTCTGATGCCATAATTAGTAGAGTGCAGGTCAGTGTGCATGATGAGAGGTGCTTTTTCTGCGTAGTTTTTGTTTCGGCTAGACGATTTGAAACAAATTTTTCAAGTTGATCCAGTCAAATAAAACTTGACTGTCTGTTCACATTCATAAATCAGGATCAACATTAAGCTGGAGTTGTAATTTGGCAAAATAGAATTGTCAAATTCTAATTGTCGCTGCTTCAAGCTGTAACTTAGGAAAACATCCGTAAAGGTACAAATATGAACGCTACCAGGTGTTCTTAAATGCCGTTTTTGTTGCCGTTTAGTATTTGCCGTTATTTTTAAAAAAAATAAATTTAGTGATGGTTCTATCGGCACAAAGAGGTCCAGTGGTTTTTTGTGGTTCTTTGTGCGTGTTAGGGCGTGTTTACTAGTCTCATGATTCACCTAACGTTCAAGTCTCTTAAATTTCTGCATTGACAGACAGTATTCTCAAAGGATCGATAATCTGCGGCCTCTGCAAAATTGCCCAAGGATGAAGCCGTTTTAATTAAGGCACTTGAGTGTCAATTAATTTAGATTTTTTTTAATAAAATGGGCCATTTTTTTCGAGGTAGAAATCATTTAAGGGTCTCTATCTCGAAAAAACCCAAATTGCCTGTTTTATAGCAAGAAACACATTTAACTACTTCAATCGACTTAATTCCAAACGGCTTGGTTCTTGAGCAATTTTGTAGAGGCCGCTTTTTCTCGATCCCATGGCACCACAGACCTACAATGTCAAATATCTATTCCTTGAGCCAATATTAGCCAAAAATAATTGAATAACAATAGTTGTCTTCAATTCTTCTTTGATTTGATTTATTGAAAAGGTGTTTTGAGCATTATAATTTTACGAATTTGAAAGTCATGTACGTAATTATTTATTAAAAAAAAATCTAATTTGAAAGTTTTCAAGCATGTACTCCAGGCTTTTCTTTGTCCATTTTTTGGCAATAGTTTTTCAATTGTCTGTTGGCTATGTTTCATGGCTCCAACGGCTAAACTAAAGTTTTGATTGCATTATCTTCATTTTGTTTTTGTTGTTTAGGTGACACAAAGTACCAAGAGTGGGGCTGGGAAATATTCCAGTCAATTGAAAAGTATACCAAAGTTCCCTCGGGTGGCTACACCAGTATAAGCAATGTGCTAGATCAGAACAATGTGCAACCCAGAGACAAAATGGAGAGCTTCTTCATCGGAGAAACGCTGAAATATTTGTTTCTTCTCTTCGATGACACACGAACTCTGTTGCCCTTGGATAAGTTTGTGTTCAACACGGAAGCACACCCACTGCCTATTTTCAACCCCACACAAAAGACAAACTAAAAATGCAGTGATTTTCTACAACGAACAATCGATAGTATTTATTGAAGAGTGACTAAGCAAGTCGGTAAAAGAGTTTACAGCAAAATGAAAAGTGAAATAAATTTGCTGTTATCTAAATTTCGGCGTTAAAATTAAATTTCGGCTATTTTCAGACTGTTCAAAAATAGCTATTTAGAAAGTCATAAATTTGTGTGGAGAAAAAACCACCTCAAACATAAATCTTCCCTCATTCCCTTCGGAAGTTGGATCAATAAAGTAAAAGCATTTTTCGATTGATAGATCTCATTAGCCTGAGTTCATCAATTAAAATGATTTGATCATTTTGAGATATCAACTTGCAAAGTTGCCCTCTTCTAATTCAAGCTCTGCCTGTACATATGACGAAGTGCTATTGCAAAGGGTGTCCCCGTAGTTGAAAAGGCCAATCTAGTCCATTTTGAAAATAGGACTAAGTGGTAATCTTATGTGACCATTTGGAAATGTACTACATTTTCATTAGTGCCAGTCTGCCAAATCAATTACTAAAAAAAGACTATCAGTAAATTATGTGGGCAACTGTAATTATAAATTGCTTTGGTCAATTCTTCGATTTTACCTACTAATGATCCACAAGAATAAATCAACACACAAACTTGAGATAGTATCCGATTTTGTAGTTTAATTATAAATATTATGAAAGCTGGTGCAGAGTAGTATCCAAGTAAAATATGACTTATGAAATATCCTAATTGTATATATTTATTATTATTTCAAAATGCATTATTTTCACTGTTCTCATCGGAAGTAGTATTATTTTGTAATGATTGTTGTGTATTTATGTGATTGAATTAAATGGCCCGAAAATTGTTTTTCAAGTGTTAACGTTAACTGGATCAACTTGTTTTTCAAGTGAAATGTTAAAATATTTACTTTGTTTTTTTGCTTACTGGGAACAAATTGTTAGAATTTGTTAACGCTCATTTTTTGGCGACTTTTCATGTTCCTTTGAAGCTCTGTTTGAAAATTGATTTTCCAAAGGGCCTCAAGTTAGGTTCTCCGAGAATAAAGATGGGAAAAACATCCCGCAAAATGGAGCCTGTGTTTTCGTTAAGAACCAACAAGTTAATTTGTGTACCAACTTCATCTCACATCTACCGCTTTTGTAGATTTCGTGATTGCTTTAGGTGATTACCTTTTCAGCTTATTGGGTGTCGGCCTTTATTCTGTCGGCTTATTTTCAATTTTGCTGTTTTTCGCTTAGAATTTTCGAGACTATTTTGAGACCATTTATCAACGAGGGTTAGGACCAACATAGGAGCTGTACAGCTCATCACGGCGAACCGCTGTTGTGCCCCTGCTTAAGAACTACATGCAATTTTTTTTGGTTATTTTTCGGGGCTGGGTAATGTTGCTTCACCCTCAAGCAACGAGCAGGGCTCATGGTGGTCCTCGAACATCCGACCTTTCGATTAAGAGGCGGAGACGTAACCACTTCACCACCGCTCCCACTATATGATTTTGACTTGTTTTTCAGTTAACTGAGCTTCTTTTGCATCAGTTTAAAGTGGCAAAAAGGGCAAAAATGATTATAATTGTTTTGGATAAATAAGGTTAGTCGTAGTTTTAAAGTGAAAATTCAAACAATTAAAATCGCTCAAAATATTTTCGTGACCACAATTTCCTTTGGGGTTCCTTTTTTTCATATCATTGGGCGTCTAACCAAAGGGATGTCGGCTTATTCATTACTCGGAAAATACTAGAAGCTTAATGGTAGTGGTTGTGTTTTTCTGAAGTTGAATTTTTCTTTTCTCCAGTAACAAAACATTTTTTTTGACCTAGTTATTTCCATCTCACTTTCCATCTCACAGCTTGCATCGCTTCGTCTCTTTATGTAGGTTTGAATTTTGTTTTCAGATATTCAGCGTTTTAGCTTTCGTCATATAAGAATTTTTGGTTTAACTAATAAACACAAAGTATTAACTAATTTTTCTGGTCTTTACACACGGTGTGAATGTAATACTACGAAGCAACTTTTTTTCCATCCAAGCCGCAAAAATTGCTCACTTGGTGGCAATTTTGGCATGTTTCCATCGTGTGGAAATCCATAATCTCCAGGGCGGAGGTTTGATTCCGGGACCTATCAAACATCTGATTTTCTAAAGCTTTTTAAATTTTTTATCGCTTTCGATTTTCCTTTTTGCTATTTTTTGCCGTTTTCTCGCTTGTGTTTGGGAGGTGCAGTTTTGCCAGCGTGTCAAAGCTTAGTTGTAAGTTTTTTGCTGTTATGAATGGATTCATTCATGTGTTTGGCCTAATCCAATTTTTTTCTTTTTATGCTGATTGTTTTTTATCACCCTGATTTGTTAAAATTTCAGATTTTTGAAAAGAAATGTTCGAATATGAATCAATATTTTTCCTTTTTTCGGCTTCATATGTTTCGTCTTATTTTTAACGACTTTGTGGCCTCATATTGTGTCGCTTGATGGCCAAAAATGTCTGTGTAAATGTGTGTTCTGAGGGTACGGGGGAGTTTCTTTTTTGTTAGTTTATTTTTTGAATTTTTTTTCGGCCTGAAGAGTTTCTGATCAGTTATTGTCGGATTGTTACCGCTTGGTAATTGTAAAAACAATTTCAATTAACCATCCGTTGCATCTAGCGTAGAGATAATACAGCTTTTTGAGACCGCAAAAACTTGTGATTCGATTCCAGTTGGGAACTGTTTTTTTTTTCAAGTTAGAGCTTTTGTGCTTCTTCGGACTATCGTCCGTCTGCTAATTTTCGTCGGCTTAGTTCCGCAGAAAGGACTCTTTGAGAATTCGACTTCTTCTTATGATTCTGAAAGCTCTTTGTAAATTTTCTACTGGGTCAGGTAATTTGTAAATTTTTGTATTGGATTTTTTGGTCTTTTGTTTCGGATATTTTGGTCTTTTGCAATTTTTAATTGACAAAAAATGATTTTTTGAAAATCTGTTTTCCAATTGTTTTTTCTTTTACTTCATTTATATCCGTTCAATTTTTGTGTCTCTAAGTGGAACAAAGTTTAGCTTTGCCTCTGTGTGTGAAAATTCCCAGCTGAATAAATATAATTTATATATGAAACCGGTGTGCTTAAAGCAATTGAATTCAATTTTTAAAAGCTAATTATCAAAATTCTAAAACTCGGTGTGTTTTGTTCTACAAATTGAAAGCAATAAGTAACCGAAATGTTTTGACTCAGTGTTCTTCAACGCTCTTTAAATTCAACGCTGTTATTGTGACTTGGCAATAATTAAGTGTAAATGAACGCAGTGAAGGCAACTTTATAAGTCGTGTTGATTTTTTGTTTTTGTGTTCTGCTGCATGAAAACAAAAACTTTTGCAATCATGTTTTTTTTTCTAAATTCATTTCTATTTTATTTCTGAAAGCAATAAAAATTACGCTACAGTGCGAGAGAAAAAGGAGTGACTCTTATTCGAAATTGGATGTTAATTCTTCGATTTTCCAGCGAAATAGAAAAATTACCTATTGATCCATGTCTCTAATCGGACCAATGTGTATATGAAAAGTGTATTTATTGATCATTGAATTAAAAATTCACCAGCGTAATGAAAAAATCTGTTGTTGATCCAGTTCTCCCAAATTTGGGTTAGTTCTATCAAAAAGCTCAATCATGAATTTTTCTTTGGAATTCAAAATTTCACTAAGGCTATCTTTTTTTGTTGTAAAAGTAGAAAGTACTTTTTAATGAACGAGTTGGTCCTTTTTTGTTTCATTGCTTTTCTTGTTTTTTTTCATTTTTTCTGTAGATTTTCATTTCTGTATTTTAAATGCCATTCTCTCCTGGTAAACCGGGTTTGGCACCTTATCAGGAAGAAGACCTTAAAATGACGCGTTAGATTATGCGTGCATAATTGTTAGATTATGCGTTGATAATTGCAGAACGAATGCCAAAAAATCGATTCGTTCACATGTGCACGATCGGCTTCTAGATTTTTTTTTGTAACGAACGTTTTGAACAGTGAAATTATGAGATAAAAATGATGTCTAAAAGGGTTTTTCCACGAATCCACGGACAAGTGGTAGCGTTACCTTAGGAGTTAGTTTTTTGCTGCCGAGATTGCATAGTAGTTGAGCCGAAATTGTCTGTTCAGTTTTACTGGAGTGTATGCATTAATTCAGCCTCAAATACAATTGAAAGATTTTCGAACATTTTTTTGTAAATCCCCCCTTGATTTACATCAGCTCCTGATCTTGAGCTCGAATTTTCATGAACAAAGTTTGCAAGAACAAAATTACAAAATCAAATTACTAATTTTTAGAATTCCAATTAAACCAACTACCTTTGAAACAGTTTTTTCAAATGAAGTTAATCCAAAGATGCGAATGCGTTTAAGGCATGTAATTTCATTGATGCTTTAGAGATGAAATATTTTTAGCAAAAGCCTAAATTTTGAGTTACCAATTATTCTTCCTTTAAGCAGAAATATTTTTGCCAAAAAGTAGATAGATTTATTTCCAGCTAAAAGTTTACCATGAAATTATGACTAGAACTTTCTAACATTATGATTATCATTTTGACAAGTGCTGTTTTACTATTTGAGATCTTTTTCCTTCTTCGAAGAATAATATCATGTTGTTACTTAGTTGTAATCATGAGTTCTGCTTGGTTTTGGCAAGAGGTTCTTTCTGCTCGAAGCAAAAATGTTAAATCCGAGTTTTGTCCTGACCACTGGAGGTGGGTAGTAAATTTGTCTTTGGGTGTTATTTATTATTTTTTTGCTGCAAATAGTAAAAGGAATGGGTTTGGTGATATCTATATCTATATCTATCTATCTATCTATCTATCTATCTTTCTATCTATCTATCTATCTATCTATCTATCTATCTATCTATCTATCTATCTATCTCTCTATCTATCTATACTATATTTAAATGCGAGTGACAGCTATCTCTCATGTTTAAGCATAAAATTTTGCATGTTTAACGAAAGAATTTTTTCATGTTTAAGCTATATCATATATTGCAATGCTCAAGAAAATCTAGTAAGTTTCAAAAACTCGGGGTCTGCTTGAAAACTACCAAGTTTGAAGACCCTGAGATTTTACACAAACTA